GCAATGATAAAATACCAATAGATAATTTTAATATTGAAAAAATACTAAATTATATCACAAAAAATTGGAATCAACATAGAGTACAAATAAGAAAGAGTTCAAATTAAATTTTCATTTTTCATTTAATAATATTGTATGCCTATAAAATAAATACTTCAAATTAATTCTATATTACAAGTAAAACATTCATTTAAATATTGTTTACAGTACAATAATAATTTACTTTCAAACCTTATGTATAACAGTTGCACAGTATACACTCATTTAATGTTTTTTATTTTTTTACTATAACATTTGTTATAATAGCTTTTAATGATATTAATTTTCATACATTAAATAAGCTATGTTTTTTGATACAGCAACGATCTAACATCTAACAATTAAGGACAGTTTACATATAACGTTGCTAAATATAAACCCATTTCTTTATAGCCAAATTGTTCGCATAGTTATATAAATTCAATATTATCTGTCTTAGGCTTTAGTAAAACATTGTTATTTTTTTGTTTCATATATATTTATATATAGGAAAGTTTGCCTGTTTTTCATAACATAATGTATGTCTCTTAACGTATTTTTATTTTGAAAAAATAAAAAAAACATCGCTAATACAATTATATATGTATATAAATCTTTATGCACATACTTATAATTATCAGGTCAACTAGTTCAACTAAATATTTTTTTTTTCAATTTTTCATAAAAATATATTAAAAAAGGAGTCAAAAAAAAGTATTCACAGATAATAAAAATTGTTTTAGTAATATAAATATCTTTATAATTATTAAAACGAAAAATTCATTATTCTTAGTTATTAAATATTTATTCTTAATTAGAAAGATTTTTGTTTTTTAATAGAATATTAAATAAATATTTTAAGCATCATTATTATATTTGTTTAAGGAAATTCAGTATTATGAAATCATTTTTATGAAATCTTTCAAAAAAAGTAACAGCAATACTGTATATAAATTTTCATAAGCATACTTTTTTCTTTGCAAATATAAACAAGTTAATATTTATAGCAACACACAAATTAATCTATTATTTGCTTAGAAAAACATTGAGTTTTGCATTCTTATTACATAGTAATAAACATTTTATAATTGTATTATTACCACTGAAATTTTTGTTTTGTATCATTAAGTTTCATTTTTAGTATTAGATTGGACTGTCATAAATATGTAGTTTTTTTAGTGGTAGTTAGTAACGTGTTATATATATTATTGTAAAATTCGTTGACGGAATGCATAAAATCACAATAGACAAAACACAATGCAAGATCAAAATTTGTATGTGCGAAAAATCGCTTTAAAACACTCATACAGTATCTTAATTACATATATGTGTTCTTCATATATAGCAGTCTTTAGTTTTTTAGTCTTGACATAAATTTAAATAAATTATTAATAAAAATAAATTGTTAGTAATTTTATAATCTAGAGAAGTATTATGATTATCTTTTTAAATCGCATTTAAATTTAATAACTGCAAATATATTTTATAAAAAAAGATTAATAGTAAGTATATTTACAAGAATAATAGATATAAATCAAGTAAAAAAATTTTTTCAATTTACAAATTTGACTTGATGCATTTATGCGGTCATTCTTGTGAACATAATAGTAGCCAATGTGTGTTAGTTTAACACATTTCTAATATATATTAATTCATTTAATAAGGCTACATAACAAACATAACAAAGGCAGTTGTATATAACATCTAGTATAATTTACCACTTACCTTTATCTCTTTCCATAAATATCACTTATTTCATAATTATATAAATAATTGAATTTCCTTTAGAGACAAATTATCAACAAGTTTAAACGTGAATACGCAATGGTACACTATCCGACTTATTTTCTGCTTCTAGATTGTATTTTATAGTATCAAGAGTATTATAAATTGTTCTGAAAGTAGGTCTATCTGATGGTCTCCTGTTCCAACAAAGTTTCATCAGATCATATATCGCCGGCGGAGTATTTTCGGGACATTGGAGTACATTGCCTTCCTTTATATATTTTACAACTTCTTCGTGCGTCATTCCATAATAAGGCTGGAGTGCAAAACTAAATATTTCCCACAAGCATACCGCGAACGCCCATACATCAGATTCGACGGTATACTTATTATACAATATACTTTCTAAAGGCATCCACCTAACTGGAATAGCATCTTGTTCATCGCCTTTATAGTAATCTTGTAAATAGATTTTTTGCGACAAACCGAAATCTGCTATTTTTACAATCATTTGATCATTGATCAAACAATTTCTCGTTGCGAGATCTCGATGAACGAATTTTCGATCTGATAAATATACCATTCCAGATGCTACTTGAAGCGCAATATTAATCAAATCCATATGCGATAAACGAGAATCTGTGAAATGTTCGTCTTTTTCAAGACTTCGAATAATATAATTTCCCGGTGAACAAGATCGGAGAAATTCATTCAAATCACCACGACCCATGTATTCAAAAAGAAGACACATTGGTCGACCTAAAGCGCATACACCTAATAATTTGACGATATTTGGATGATCGAATTCGGCAAGAAGACATGCTTCTCGTTCGAAATCTTTGAGCAGATCATCTGATGCTTCTTCTTTTAACATTTTTACAGCAACATTGGTAAATTCTTCACCTGGAACAAGACCAGGTGCTTTTGCTTGAAATACTCTACCAAAAGCGCCCTGTCCCAAATCTCGAACATAAATAATATTATTTCTTGGAAATTCAAGTTTTTCCAATTTTGGATTAAGTTGTGCACTTGTTTTATGGTATGCATCATTACTTGGTAGTTTGTCCAAATCAATACTGACATACTGAAAATTATATAATTGTAACAATATGACACATGCATTATTATTATTATTATTATTATTATTATTTTATTTGTGATAATAAAATAATATATAAAGACCAGACTCAGCAATATTTTTCTGGACATTGCACTTTTAAAATTATATGATTTCAAAATAATATAATCAATAGAAATTTATTACTTTTGATATACCTGATTATCTGTAGGATTATATCCTTGATGTCTTTTGTGAAGTCTATGACTTAAAATAATGGATAATAAAGTTCCAGTTATAATTACAAATCCTAATGAAGACAATATCAATATAAACATTGGAGTAAATAATGTATCCATTACTAAATCTTTAGGATCTATTTCTGGAATTTTATTTGTTATATTATCTGCATTAAAAGTAAAAAAAAATTACAATGAGTATATATTATATTATTATGATTATATATGTATATAATATTTCTATCTTTGTGTGTCATACCAGGTATTAAATGCCTACCGCATATAGGAATATCACAATATTGCCATCGTATATGAGGATCCATGGTAAAACACCATGGCATTGGTTCATCTCCACCTGCATTTCTACAATAATTCTCTCCATAACGAATTTGAGGGAAGACATCTGGTGGTCTATCATGATTATGTGGTATTTGTGCATTCCATGACTGACAATCCAAGCCTAGTTTTGTTTTATTTACTTTGCCCATATAAAACCTACCATTGCCCTTGACACAATCATCTAAAATTATATTTTATTAAAAAATTATATATTATGATGATATTTGATAATTTCTAGAACCATTTTAAATTTTTTTTACATGTAACAAGATCTTCATTCATATCAGTTAAATGAATATGAGAACAAGTCACTTTTCCTTTGATTATTTTTGGCAGTGATTCACAATCTGGTAATGTAAAATGACCTCTTGATCTGATATAAATATCCCTTTGTTTGTTGTCTTCTATCATTGCCCAATCATTAAAACAAAATTGATGACGTACTGCCATACAATCTTCATAACATAATGGTAGACCAACTGAGTTGTGACATTGTGGAAAAGCATACATACATAACATTTTCTGAAATGATCAAATAATATTTTTTTGCATTCTTATTAATCTAATATCAATACATACTTCTGCAGCTGAACGGCATGGTTCAACTAATCGTTGTATCAATTCTTCCCATAAATTAGTTGTAATACGTTCATTTAACCATCCTCCAGGATTATCATTGGAATCATTAAACCATACTTTTCCAATTCCAGTTAAATATTTCTTACAAATCTTCCCATTGTATGGTGCACAATAACCTTGTGATTCAGGTTCTATAAAAATAAAAAATATAAATTCAAAATATTTTTCATTGAGTTATATTTTTTATATATATATATATATATATATATAAAATACATACTAGTCTGTGCAGAACTGAAATGCAAAATGATTGCTATTAGAGAAACAATCCAGAACATCATTATTTATATATACAGCTTAAAAGAATGTCAAGAGAAAATATCACATGTTTACAAAAAATTTTTTTATATGAGAAATACGCTGATGCCGATGTTCATTTAATTTATATTAAAAAGCATTAAATCTATGTAAATTAAGTATTTTTTCATACACAGTCGATTCTGATACTCCATTTTATGCGTTAGTTGAATGTGTTTTTCAATGTATCTAATGATCACAAAACGAATATTACAATTATTGATTCCAATTTTTTAAACTGTTTTCGATGGAGGATACAGTACGATAAACTGTTAACAAAAATATTCAATGAACTAACGTCAATTACGAATTACAATATCGAACACATAATTTGAATAGCAACTACAATTAAGTTATTTTAAGAAAAATTTTGTTTTTGTCTATCATATGTATAATTAATTAATATAGCCAATTCTGCCTTTTATTTACAACATTAGGGTATGATGAATAAATGGTAAATTTCTTCGTTTTGTAACGAGCGTAAGTAGTTGCTAATCTAACAAAAATTTGGAACTAGGACAATATTTGTACTCGATAATCGAGAAATTGTTTAATTTCTTTAAAAATATTCTTAATAACTTATAAGATATATTAAATATTTATAATTATAAGTGCGCAAAGAAATTAATTAAATTAATAATAATTTTAAATTTAATTAAAAACATATATTTATATATATATAAAAATAACTTGTTCCAGAAAATTTTGCCTAGTAATGTTGGTATAATACAATTAGCAGCAGAATGCGCGGGAAGAAATTCCGTTACTGTATTTAAGGTAAATTCATTGCAAAAAACTGAAGATAAAAAGAGTATGCAAGCTTTTTTAAAAACTGGTAAATTAGGTCCTGGTGAGTTCAAAAAAGTTTCGAATTCACGTTTAAAAGAAGAACGTAGTGGTCCTGCACCACCATGGGTTGAGAAATAGTAAGCATATATTAATATAACCTAAATTTTTTATTTATTATTTAAATTTAAATTTTTTCGTTCTTTTTACAGCCGTCCAAAAAACGTAGAAGATGTTGTTGAACAAACAGAAGTAGTAGAGGTATTACGACAATGTTTAAAAGGAGGTGATTTTCCAAATTTATTATTTTATGGTCCACCTGGAACTGGTAAAACAAGTACTATATTAGCTGCAGCTAGACAATTATTTGGTAGTCTTTATAAAGAAAGAGTATTAGAATTAAATGCTTCTGATGAACGGGGTATTCAAGTTGTAAGAGAAAAAATCAAATCTTTTGCACAACTTACAGCAGGTGGTATAAGAGATGAGTATGTTCATTGTTATTTTAATCTGAATGATTATTATTTTAATAAAAGCCAATGATGTTCAAGTAAAAGGTCTGAGAATTATCATTGAGCTACATATGTAAGCTATTTGAAGAATATATAGTTGTTATCAGGAGTTACTATAAAGTATTTAGTAATTTGTATTGCCAACTAGAAAGTAACATGCTGAAATTTATTATTTATTATTATAATTATATTGCCAAAAGTATTTTAAAGTTTTAATCTTTTGGTCCTATGTTAAAAGCAAACAAAAAAATTTATCTTTAATAGTTTTATATGTTGCTCTTATAATTTCTATGATAAATATATAATCTGAGAACACTTTATACAAAATTATAAATACAATAAGTAAGAATTTATCATAATAAAATAAAGTAATTTCTTTCTTTTTTAGTGGAAAAAGTTGCCCTCCTTTTAAAATTATTGTCTTAGATGAAGCAGATAGTATGACTGGTGCAGCACAAGCTGCACTTCGTCGTACTATGGAAAAAGAATCTCATAGTACTAGATTTTGCTTGATTTGTAATTATGTATCAAGAATCATAGAACCTTTGACTTCTCGTTGTACAAAATTCAGATTTAAACCATTGGGAGAAAATAAAATTATTGAGAGATTAGAATATATATGTAAAGAGGAAGATTTAAAGGTAGAAAAACCTGTTTTATTAAAAATTGTTGAAGTTTCGGGTGGAGATTTAAGACGTGCCATAACATGTTTACAATCAATTACAAAATTAAAAGGCAAAGGCATTGAAATTACTGTTGATGATGTACTTGAAATCATTGGGGTAATATATAATTATTTTTCTAAATAATAAAATGAAATAATATTGTATCTTTATTATGTAATAAAATAATTATAGATTGTACCCGATAAATGGTTGGATGAATTAATAGATGTATGTAAAACAAAGGATTATAGCAAGGCAGAAGAATTTGTCGACCAATTTATGTTAGAAGCATATGCTACATCCCAGGTAAAGTTTTAAGTAAATTATACAATTATTCAGTGTATATTTTCTGTATTGTTCCAGGTTATTGAGCAACTTAGTGAAAGAATTATATATTCCAATGAATTAACAGATAAACAGAAAGCTTTAATTGCAGATACACTTGGAGTAAGAATATAAAGTTATTTGTAAAATAAATATAATGTACATATTTCTCATTTATTATTTTTTTATTTGCAGGAATGTAATTATAGGCTGTTAGATGGTGGAAATGAATATATACAACTTATCAATATTTGTTGCGGTATTATAAGAGCTTATGAATTAGTATAATTATTATATTTTTTCAAATTTTTATTTTATATCAATAAATATTTATTATTTTTTTTTTACATATTCCGATGCATTTCACTTTTTTAAAATAATAAACTGAAATTAAACGCAAAGTGAAACAACTGTTAATATTGTATTCCCTATGAGTACATATTTTTCCCTAGTACTAGTTTCATTTTCTCTTACTAGAAAACTTCTTGTATATATATTAAATATTAAATATAAGGAACAAATATATTAATTATTGTTTTTTATTCAATACATCTTTAAAAAGTATTGTAGTTTTCATTGAAATAAAATTTAAAATTTATTAGTAATTTACGATAAAAATAACCAAGTTTATTCTAATCTAGGGAAGAAGCGATTTTCTAGCTCTGTCGCGCAATCTATCGGTGGATGACTCTTAATGACGCCATAGTTTGAGAATCACTGTCATCGGCGTGTAGGGGCGTCGTTGCTGCGTGCAATGTGTATCGTGTAGGCGTTGGCGAGGAGGAGACAAGTCGGGGATGTGTCCGTAAAAAACTTGCGGTTTCTGCGTACTCTGCCGCACGTGCACGCTCGAAATCGTGTTCCGTGAACTATTGAATCTTGACAAAATTATACTACGTGCCCATATTGGTCGAAATCATCTCGCGAACGGGCCTAACAATTACGGCCAGGAAAAAAAAGTGCAGCCAGTGCTCCGTATTCTTTCGTTTCTTCCAAAGGCCACGTATCGTGCGTGTGTATCTTATTCTTTTGTCACGAAAGCTTAAGACGCGAACAAATAATTCCGTCGATCGGAGAAATCGACAATTCGATTCCACGGAAGAAACGACGCCCGTACCAGGATGCCAGGACAGGAGGATCTCCGAAGAGCCATTGAGTTGATCGGTGTTACTCGCGCGAATTAATTTCAACTCGATTCGTAAGAAACGAGCAAAGTCTCGAAAAACGTACGGATATTAACTTGAGAGGAAAAAAGATAGAGACAGAGACAAGAAGGAATTCAAGAAGAAAGAATCCGACGGAGAGCGTGTGTACAGGAGATGTACGGAATCTCGAAACGAGATCCTGGTGCGGGAGGATTCCACTATCAACGGTTACGATCGAACGTATTATCACACGCTGGATTCTTCGGCGTATGAGACAGTCACCGATTGTGAGTCTCTCTCTTGTCTGTGTGGACGCTGCTGACTGTGTACGTGTTTTTCCCGGCGAAGAAATCTCGGCTTGTGACGGCGGCGGCGGTGGTGTCTGCTGGCATGAGATTTTATCGTCGTCTAGTCGGCACGCTCTCGTGGAAGTATCAACATCGAATCACACGCGCAGTGCGGTTCGTGTGATTTTTTTGTGCGTGAATCAGAATAGTGGCCATTCTTTTTCGTGTACTCATACGAAACTATTACTCGACCGTCGATGACAAAGGATATACGTCTCACAGAAGAGATTCTTTTAGTAGGGTGGCTCTCGGTTCGTTTCTCGTTTCACCTCTCGTTTTGCCTCTGAGGCTTTCGATGATACTGAGCATTATCGTCGCACATTTGTCTGTGCGACTCGAACTACCTACATAATTATTATATCTTCTTAAAGAAATTAGATATATCTCGAGGCTGATTTACGTGCGTGAAACAAAGTGGTGTGGAAGAAAACGTGTTGTGGACAGAGGGTGGATGACACACACAAGACGCGTATTGGCCGGCCGAGGGAACGAATTTGCGGATTTGTCGCCGGTTTATTACGTCGTGCGACAAAACTTCTTGGAATGTGACGAGGGATTTTTAGCGTGGGAAATATCGTAGAAAAGGTAAGTGATTTGAATATGGCAACAAATTTATGTATAATTGTCGAATTAACTATACGATACGAGCTGTCACTGGAGCAAGCATTTAATCGAATCGTGTATTCTAACCTGCAAACATAGTCGCGTAAAAATAGCGTTCATGAAACGTACTTGTAAAGGTACGCGACTATTAGAGAGATTATTTGTTCAATAATTCACGCAATAATAAATTAAAATGTGGTAAATATCTATAGTAAACATAACATGTTAAAATTCAGCGCAATCAAGTATTTTTCCTCTTATTATTTTGTATATTTCCCATTTGATTGCACAATGATTGAATTCGATATCGATATCTACGATATGGGTCGATAACGTTATCGATAAATCCGAGACTAATTTAACGATACATAAGCAGATATCGATTGCAATATACGAGTATTACATATTTGAATCGAAGATGTAGTTTTACGAATGATCCGCTATGAATGATCGATATAACTTATATCGATCGAGAATCGCAATTATTGACAAACCAATCGGTGCGAAAGAAATGGCGTCGTGAACAAGTCTCGCAGTTGTCAGAAAGACCCGAGTATTCGCTATTATAGTCGAATTATCTGTTTCTGTTAAAAAAAAAATCTTTGATCGAGTTGACTGTGGCAAGATTACACTTGTTACCCGGTACAATAGCATTTCTCGAGAATAGACGCGGGCTTTGTTTTTGTTTTGAAGCATACGCGACACTCGATGCCGCGCGTCTACCGCACGCATGCCAACATAATTCAAAGTGGTGTAGCATTCAGTGCTGTGACTTATGACTCTTTTGAGAATATACATTGGAGCTAGAAGTAGTTTACACCGATATCATCTGACATTTTTCAGCGCGACAGAAAGGTTTGTACGATCGAATTTTTTTCTCATATACGAGTGTAATTTGTCAAGGTTATAACATTCGAGAGATTACGAGAAATACGAGTAAGAGACGCGAGTCGAGTCGAAATATTTTTAGTTTACAAATAATAATCGAGATATATCACCCTAGATAGGTTATTTATCTTAACATTATTTTCGATATACGCATTTATTTAGACGTATAAAAACGTGATGTGTAAATTATTC